CTTGTCCATTATTTACCAATATCTGGGCTGTTCTTGGTAGACAAAGGTATCCTCCGTAATGGTTGACACATTTCATTCCTCCCTTACAAGGTTCTTGCATTATACCACATTCATCAATATCTGCAATTCAGTGGAAATGGGGACAACAAGATCACATTCTGGAAGGCATGATGCTACTGAGGCTAGCATTGCCCTATCTTTTAAGAGAAGACTTACCTTAGATTGTACAGCTAAGCCTTAACTTTTACAGCCCTATGTCTAAAGGGCAGACATCTCCATATGCTTAATTCTTCTTCAGAGCATTCAGGGATACTCAAAATCCAGACACACCTCTGCTCCCCACAGATCCATTGGGTGGCTTATGCAGGCAATAGATGGTTCGTTTATTGGCCGACTTTTTGAAAGAATAATCGGACAATTTTTGCACTGTTAATGGTGCAATGGCATTGGCCGATTTTCGCGGCACCTCCTCATTTCTTTTATCGGTCATGCTGGAAAATTTGCAAAAAACAGCCGATTTTCGCAATCATTGGTGGCAACAGAACGACCGATGTTTCATTTTTTGGATGAAAATAGGCCGATAAACGAACCATCTATGGCCTGCATTAGTATCTGGTAGGAACACAAGGGGCCAGGTCACATGGAAGATGTAGTAGATAATTGCATAACAGAGTGCCTGGGTTTTTGGGAGCTAAAGGTACCTGCTCTTTTAACCATAGGCAAGAAAAGCACTTGTAATAAATTAAAAACATTAAAATCTTTATCCCTTTATCTGCATTTTATTTATGGATGTGCAGTTTAGAAGAAAATAATATTCCATAAATGTATGGGCTGGTGGCAGGAAATTAAGCTTGCCTTGGACTACTTTTTGCCTCTGTAGTTTCAGACGCCAAATTATGTAGTACAGACAATTAAATCCTATTCAAAGGTAAGCCATCAGCAATCAACAAATTAGTTTAATGATACATCATGGCTATCGATGAAGTACTTCTACTATTATTACTAATCCCTGCCAATAATTACTTCTTCCATGCAACAGTCTCTACCATAAAGAATTACCATAAAGACTCTCATGCTAAATTAATTTCAGAGTTGGTGAATCGCTGCTGTAGAGAAACAAATAATCCACGGTGCTGAACAGGTACCTGGGCCTAGTGACCAATACTGGACAATAAATTAAAGGGGCATTGGACACTAGGAAAGGCCCAAACACAGCCTTTGCTTGATGTATATGTAGACAAATGTTTCGTCTCTCTATAAGGTCAAATTTATAAATACCCACAAAAAAGAAGGTTAATTTGAGTAATCAAATCCTCTGGTTCAGGTTTTCCCAAAGTTGGCATAATACCACAACTGACAGAGTTAACCTCTGGTTGAAAATTTATGCCTGCTCTTTTACAAGATATACAGCTATATATTTAACTGTACATGTTGAAAAAAACCTGGTTCTTCTTTAGAATCTTATTTCTTTTTCACCGTCCCTCCAAAGAGTCCAATATGTAATAAACACAATGCTCATGTCAACCAGAAACTACAGTATTGAGCACTTCCAGTGCAGAGTTTAAAGAGCCATATTCCATCTATAGGCTACTGGTTTCCACTACTATGAGAATTTTCTCACATAGGGAAAAATCTCACTCATTGAGGTCTATGAGGATTTGCTTTTCAGGCCATGGTCCTGTTCTAAAACTCTACCTCTGAAATGTTTTGTTGGTGGAAATGTTTTTAAATTTGCCCAGGTAAATGCCCATTTTTGTACATGTTTATTTAAGTTTTTAATTATATATTTTAATATTTATGTAAGATCAAAATGTATTCTAAAAACTATTCAACCTATATAATATATTTTGCAATGTACTAGGCAACAGTTTAGAATTAAAATTCATGCAAATTATTTTTGAAATATTGGAAAGTGGGTAGAACAGGGATTTAGGAGTGTGGACCAGAAGTATGTCTTTCTATGGACTATATTGTGTTTATTCTTCCTTTCAAATGTGCCATGCAGAAAACATATAAGTGTACCATGAGGAAAATGAATGGTACACAACAATTTTTGAAACAATAATTTACTCACAAACTCTCATACACTAGCAGAAGAAATCTTACCTTTACATTGCTGTCGTAGTGGGTCCCACTCATACCCATCAGTGCATTGCTAGAAGGTAACATAAGGTTGATATATTTATTGCCATTTTTTATAGATCTCAATCTCAATTTCTGGCAGGTCAGTAATGCAGTGTTCCAGGAAAATAGCTAAATGCCTACAGTAGCTAAAATACTGTATATGAACTAAAACTGGCTCCCAAATAATTTTGTTTGAATGGTTTGTGGATTCACACATCTGGGCTGCACTGCATAGCACAGAAGTTGACACTTTTTTTTTTATTTCCTAGTTCAGCTTAACAGCTTCCTGGGCCATCCATCTGCTCATAGAGCAATAAATTATCAGCAAGATATTGCTGATTCATTGGCCACAGAGAATGTCTGAGACAAAGAGGTGACATCTCTTTGCATACAAAAAAATTAAAAAAGAAAAAGAATCATCACCTGGTTATGATAGAAGTATGCAAATCACAAGAGTAACTGAACAGAATAACAAATCCTTTTGCATGTAATAATTCATTTACATACATTTCAATAGTATATTTAGCCATTCACCTGGATCTCAAATTTAACTGTCAAAGCTATATCTGAAGATATAGCTTTGGAAGTCACGTGATGATCGTGACGTAACGCGTAGAGCGCGTTGACGTACTTCTGGTAGACGCCATCTTTGTACACCCAGTACTTCTACAGCAGACCCATAACGTGTGGTAAAAACTGCCTGAATATATCAGCTATACTCTGAGTGTTTACTTGGCATTTTTTCCTTTAAAGTTATGATTAAACACTATGAAAGTCTCTCTTGCTTGCTTTTTCATGGCCTTGTTATGAGATATATATGAACCTAATGAGCTGTACTGCAGTGGTCTGCTGTTGGAGGGAGAGCCAGTATATAAGGAAGCTACCTTGAGGTTATGTGGAGCCACTGGAGCCTGCTTTATATGATGTTATAAGGTGCGGAGTCATCTGCTGGTTAGGATCCAGGTGATCCATAAGGCGTAGTCGCCCTTTGGGATCGCAGGAAGGAGGTGAGGAGGCATTGCAGCCATTTAAGGATATTTATCCACCTGAGTGTGACACAACCACTACAAGCACCTTATTGATGAAGATTGAAAACACTTTTAATTGTGTGTTTTTTTGCACATTTCCTTGTGGACTTTTTTACCCTTTAATTAATTTTTAACACTGTGTTTATGTATTTGATGTTTATTGGGAGTTTTAGCACCAGTCACTAATGTTTATAGGTTCCCATTTGTTGGGACTCACTGGGGTTTATTTACTAAAGCTGGAGAGTCCAAAATCAGACTCCCTTCTGCATAGAAACCAATCAGCTTCTAACCTCAGCTTGTTCAATGAAGCTTTGGCAATGAAACTGGAAGCTGATTGTTTCTATGCAGAAGTGAGTATTTTGCACTCTCCAGCTTTAGTAAATAAACCCCACTGTGTCACTTTGTACATTATCCCTTGCTGGGATTGGGGATTTTAGTCACTTTATTGCAGGTCCATATGAGACCAGATTTTGTATGCACTTTACCACTTGTTGTTGTACAATTTTAAGATCCCTGAGGATCTATCACATATGTATGCATTATTTGATTTGAATTTTGATATTTATTATGATATATATTATTTATCTATATTATTTTGCGCTACACCAATATTATTTTACATAATTTATTATGGTGCACCACCCAGCTGTAGTGTCAGTGTCTTTGTTGAACAACGATTTACTCTTTAAAGTGAAACTTTAGTCAGAAAATGTGGTCTTTCTAGATCACTTCAGGCGTGTCCCTCTTGTAGATATAGCTATGTAAAACTTAAAAATAGGTGCCTAGACTGCTTAAAATCCAGTAATACACTGTTTCACCCTGCGCTGCACATGCTCAGTTGCTCTCCATTTTTAGGCACTGTGCCGAATTTGTAGAGGTCGAACTGCTCACAATCTAAAGATTAAAGTGGAATTAAACTGATTAAACAATTGAAAAAAACTGTTACATTCCCAGCACTTGCCAGGAATGCTGTCACATGTGCTTGTTTTCTCAAACCATCAAATGACTGATGTTATAACTATTCATATGTGCAGCTCCATGGCAGTTGCAGATCAAATAAATGTCATCTTCCTTGCCTGAAAAGGAGAGGAGGGTTTAGTTCTGCTTCAACTGCTGCTCAGGGCTCTGGGCTTCAACAGAATGGCAGCCTCCAGCAAGAAGAAAAAGGAACAATGTTGAAGGCAATTTACAGCACACACTAATTTTGGTAGCATAATGTGGAATGTACTGTATGTTCCTTGCTAAAGAACATTATTTTTTAATCAAATGTTATGATTAAAGTTCTGCTCTAAAGTTTTTAGGATTATTTTCTTAGCTTCCATCTTAAAACCTTCATGCACCCTCTTGGAATCCATTGCAAACGTGTGTTGTTTTTCATGTTGAAAAGTAGTATCCAAGGTGTCTGACACACAGATGTTCTACAAGATGCTTTGTTTTAAAGTTCATTGCACTTAAGGGAGTAAATAAAAGTTCAATGAATCAGCAGTTTTATTGCTCTACATTCAGTTATATATTTTTTTGCATTTGTAAATATATTACATGGGTTGAATTGTTATCATGATCCACATGCAGTTTCCCCACTGATACATAAAGTATAAAATCAGTGCTGGGTGGAGTTCTTTAATTGGGAGTAGTTAAAATTGTGTAGTGCACTTTGTGCAGTACACAAAGTGCACTGCACACTACATACAATAACAAATATGTTGTATGAATTGCTATTAACCTGTGTGTATTCAGAATGAAGATTAGAGATACACTATGTTGCCAAAAGTATTGGGACACCCCTCCAAATCATTGGATTCAGGTGTTCCAGTTACCTCCAGGTGTATGAAAATAAAGCACCTAGGCATGAAGACTGCTTCTACATACATTTGTGAAAGAATAGGTCCCTCTCAGGAGCTCAGTGATTTCAAGCGTGGTACCGTGATAGGTTATCACCTGTGCAATAGGTCTATCCGTGAAATTTCCTTGCTACTAAATATTCCACGGTCAACTGTTAGTAGTATTATAACAAAGTGGAAGCCACTGGGAACAACATCAACTCAGCCACGAAGTTGTAGAGCACATAAAATGACAGAGCGGGGTCAGCGCATGCTGAAGCAGACAGTGTGCAGGAGTCGGTCAACAGTAAAGACCTCCAAACTTCATGTGGCCTTCAGATTAGCACAACAACAGTGCATAGAGAGCTTCATGGAATGGGTTTCCATGGCCGAGCAGCTGCATTCAAGTCTTACATCACTAAGTGCCATGCAATGCATCGGATGCAGTGGTGTAAAAAAGGCCACCACTGGACTCTTGCGCAGTGGAGATGTGTTCTCTAGAGTGACAAATCATGCTTCTCTGTCTGGCAATCCGATGGACATGTCTGGGTTTGGCAGTTGGAAGGAGAATGGTACTTGCCCGACTGCATTGTGGCAAGTGTAAAGTTTGGTGGAAGAGGGATTATGTAGGGTTGCTTTTCAGGGGTTGGGTTTGGCCCCTTAGTTCCAGAGAAGGTAACTCTTAAGGCATCAACATACCAAGGCATTTTGGACTATTTCATGCTTTCAGCTTTGTGGGAACAGTTTGGGGGTGGCCCCTTTCTGTTCCAAAATGAGTGCACACCAGTGCACAAAGCAAGATCCATAATGACATGGATGAGCGAGTTTAGGGTGAAGGAACTTGACTGGCCTGCACAGAGTTCTGACCTCAATAGAACACCTTTGGGATGAATTAGAGCGGAGACTGCAAGCCAGGCCTTCTCGTCTGACATCATTGCCTGACCTCACAAATGCGCTTCTGGAAGAATGGTTAAACATTCCCATAGACACACTCCTAAACCTTGTGGACAGCCTTCCCAGAAGAGTTGAAGCTGTTATAGCTGCAAAGGGTGGGCCAACCCAATATTGAACCCTACAGACTAAGACTGGGATGCCATTAAAGTTCATGTGCGTGTAAAGGCAGACATCCCAATACTTTTGGCATTATAGTGTATATGATGTAAGTTCATTGACCTTTATTTATATTCAGTGGAATCCTCCTCAACACATTTCTCATTTATTTGTGCATGTATGTATAAGTAAGCATAGTGTGACATCACACAAAGCATAGTACTGTTTTTCAATACTCAGAGCTGGGTCACATATATGCAGATTAGATGTGATTTGAACTGCATCCAATCCGCATGACGTGTGAAATAACATTGCTTCCTATGGTGCCTATTCACATATGTCTGGTGCACTGGCAGTTCAAATTCAGTGTGGATTGAAAAAAGAGTGCTGTCCGCTTTCTGAGCAGTGCGGGTCCGGTTCAGGTGCGAATTACAGGCTATTGGCTTCTATGGGAACCATTTCTAAACCGCACATATGTGAACAGGATAAAATCCTGACCTGAACCTGATGTAAACCTGAACTGAACCACTGAACAACTACGGTGTTAATTAGCTGTGAAACCTGAGTTCCAATCCATACCGCACATGTGTGAATCAGCTTTAATCCACTTTTGGAAGTCTCATGAAAAACCAAAACTTCTGTATATGGAGAACAAGTGCATTATGTATGCACTCTGCCTTTCTATTATGGAGATTTTGTACTCTCTGTGCTTTCACAGAATAAAAACTCCTGCAGCAGGGGTGTCCAACCTTCTGACCTTACTTGGCCACATTAGAAGAAAAGGAATTGTCTGGGGCCAAACATAAAGTGCACTAACAATAGCTGATGAGCCAGAAAAAGTCAGGCAGATCACAAGTTAGTGATCACTGATATAGATAATGACCTAGCTGAGTAATAAAACTTCATTTTTTGTAATGTTTTTTATTATAAAAGTAAAGGAAAACATAAAACTAGAGTGATATTTGACACTGTTTTTGACAAACGTACGCATCAATATCTGGTTTGAGGGATGTAGTAACCCCTCCACTCCCCCCCACCCATCTAAAAATTATAATGAAATCCTAAAAAAAAACAAAACATTTGGTCAAAAGGAGTAATAAATACTAACACCAGACCCAGCTTCTGGCTTGCTCACCATTTTGGATGTGATGTCAGCAACCCCAGTAAACTCTTATCTGCCTTTCCCCTGGAAGCTACATACAAGGTTATGTAAGGGGAAGAGGGGAGCGGTAGCACAGACAGTATAGCACAGAGAGTAATTAGACACTCTCAAAAGAGAAGTAGGTTATGCCATGGAAGGAGGAAAGGAGCTGTACTAGGAAACCGACTATAATTTTTTCTAGAAAGTTCAAAGGTACATTGCTAGTGGATAACAATTATTTATGGAAAGTAAAAAACTGCAAGAAACATTTAATATACGTGACTTTTCTATGCTTTTACCAGCATTTTTACACTTGTGGAAGAGTATCTAAGAAAAGCTTAAACCATTTGTAGTGCAGAATCCATTTCTGTGTCCATGTTTTCCCAGGTTAGGGACATCACTCAAGATTCATGTGTGTTGCAGACAAGCAAGAGAACCAATAAAAATGTTTCTTCTTTTTTCACCTTCACCATCAGTTTTTATAGGTTACTTCTGTATTGTAAATACCTGGATCAACCTAATGATTTTTATTATTATTATTATTATTATAATAATAGTAACAACAATAATAATAATAATTTGTGTTTTCTCACATTTGATGAATGACTATCGCAAAAAGTAATAGGAGTAATAAAAAGCTAATTATGTATGTTTTGAACATTTTGATTCCACCTTATTTATATGTCCTGTTTGCACGCCATATGATATCTGATTTTAGAGATTATATGGAGTCATGGTAGTTGGACAGATGGTGCCATCTTTTAGCAATCAAAAATGTATGTGGCCAGAACACCATCATAGAGACAATCAAAATGCTTTATTTAATGACCATTAGATTTACCTGAATGAACTACGTAACCCCTTTTACCATACACTGTATAATAAATGTTTAAGAGTAACTCATTTTCCTGATATGGTTTCATAGAATGTTGAAAACTCTGTAAACTAGCTGAGTCAGCCTGTTTGTCATTACTCGAGAGTTATTCCTGCTTTTCATTACTCATCTCACTTTTAGGGATACAAGGGTGAGGTCTGATGAGAGACCAATTTAACAAAGATTTATAAGATGCACACTACAATATAAAACAGAAAAATGAATAACATAGTGACCAAAAGTCCATTCCACCCCATTTCCAAAAACTTTTTGTCAATTGCATATTTAAATATCAAATGGTTTCTTTATTATTGCACAGATTTTCCAGTATAATATAATAAAGTTATTCATATACTTGGTTTTTAAGTAAGGGTTAAGCCAATATGATTGAATTTCATTGCTGAGGTTCCCTGCCAGAGTTCATGGCTCTACCATGGAGTTTTATTTACTCTTTTCCAGTCACTATCATTTATGCCAACCAAATATACAACAGGAGGACAAGATTCTGTCACCCTGAACCCACCAGTATCAGATACGTGACCAGAAATTACCAAACTCCTATCTATTGGCATTCCACCTTCCTCCCCACGCATCTACAAATTATATCTAAATCCTAAAAAAACAAAACATTTGGTAGAAAATAGCAATAAATACTTACACCCATCTTCTGTTTGCTTAACTAGGTGACATGTTTCATGAGATCCAGGTAAATATTGAGCAGGGCTCCTTTTTAGTATTCCAGTGAGCCTGTGGTGAGTGATGTTGCCATTACCCAGACAAGAGCTTAGGCAGTATGACCTCCAGTAAGTAGTCTCCTTGTGTGTTTTTTTATTTATTTATTTAAAGCTGAAGTTTAGTGATTTTACTTTTTTAGAATCAGCACTAGGAATAGTATATACATGAACAACAAGAACCCTGTGTGCTAGTAGTTGCCCTGTTCCTTGAAATCTTTATTCTTCTGCCGACCAGATGCCCCGATAGCTGTGATCTTCTGTTTCTGTGGGGGTTAATATGAGCAGATCCACAGACATAAATCAAAGGTATCGACTATGCCCACCCCCTTTCTGCTCCCCTGCTCCATTCACAGAATTTGTACTTTCAGTTACCACAAGTAAAAGCATGAGCGGATGACAGAAAGGTGCATCTCCTCCTTTCAAAGAGCACTTTTAATTTGTTTGAACTGATAGTATGACTTCTATAAAGCAGCAGGGGGATGGGCATAGTCTGCACCAGGGGCGCACTGACAACTCATGGGGCCCCCGGGCAATAGGGGATCATGGGGCCCCTGTGTCCTTGCCCACACTCAAAAAAAGCCTATAAAAAAAGGTACCAGGGGCATTTCATGGAGCCCCCTTCTGACCCCGGGCCCTCGGGCAGTGCCCGAGTGCTCGAATGGTCAGTCCACCCCTGGTCTGCACCTTGTCTAGTGTCTGTGACAGGAGCCACTTATACTAACCATCACAACACTGGAAGATCACAGTGGCTGTGATATCCAGGGGAGCAGAGGAATTATGATTTCAAGGAACAGAGAAGCCACCAGCACATAGGATACTCATTATTTATATTCAAAAATTCATATAAAAACCTTGTGGTGATTTAAAATTAATAAACCACTAAACTTCAGCTTTACGTAAAGTTTTTTTTATGGGGGTGGGGGATAATAACTGGTACATATAGTATCTACATACAGTATGCGATACATGAATATGTACCTCTTACTTCTTTTCTTGCATAAAAATCTGCTAACTATCCTCTGTAGACTTTGAAGCATAATGTTATAAAGGTTTTTGTTTCTAAATTCTTTCAATTTATCTAATAGCTTTTTAATAAATTGATACCTCTTTCTAATATACAGTATACTGCTGTAAAATTGCACTGTTAGATAAAAAGCAATTTTCATTTTCCTATGGTTAAAATTATTTAATAACTCTTTGACTAGCTCTCCTGTAAATCTTCCATGCACATTGTATATCAAAGTATTATCTATACTAGTCACTAATGATTTCAGTGAGAGATGCATTGACTGGTCCATATGGTGAATGTCAACCTTAATGACACAATCTCTGTTTCATGGAGGTCTTCAATAACCTACAGTCTGTTGGTCACTAAGTAATGGATTATACTTTCTCATTATGTGTCATAATACATCTAAGCCTTATAACTATGATAATGTCATGTTCAATTTCTATTCCAGGAACCTATCATCAAAAAAATCATTAATCATCAGAGGAAAGAGAGTGAAAATTGATGAATAAGTAGTAGCAAGGAGTGATAACTGACAAAGGATGAATACAAGACAATGAAAAGGAGAAATAACAAACTTTGAGAGGTGATTTACCGA